GAGCATAAGAATTCAAAATGAATTTTCCATGGTTGTGGCAACGAGATGCTGGTTGAGCACTTCTATTTCATATGATAATTAGAAATGTACCTGATTTCTAGGACACTGAATCGGTTGACCCGTTGACGGATCATTATTGAGACAATCACGTGATTCACATTTTCGTTCCGTGCAACTGATCAAACCCTGCAATATAAACTTTAATCTCTGTTTATGCCCAAATATCGAGATTAAAATGCATCTTATCGTTAGTCTAATCACCTAATGAAAAGAAAGCTAGTGAGGGTGAAGCTATTCAAAGTANATCAAACCCTGCAATATAAACTTTTATCTCTGTTTATGATATCGAGATTAAAATGCATCTTATCGTTAGTCTAATCACCTAATGAAAAAAAAGCTAGTGAGGGTGAAGCTATTCAAAGTATCACCATAGAACTGTTATGCTCAACGTTTCAGCGCGCAGTGGTTCTTATATTGAACATTTCTTATGTCAGCCTGCAGAGGTTGTAAAAGTATCCGTCAATTAAGTCACATACATTGGAGCAGGCACATTGTCGGCAATCGAATGTTGTCCACGCGAAGCCAGACGGAATGAAGTCGTCTTCGGACAGTTTGCAAACGCTCTCCACTGAGTTTGATGATAATTCTAAAAGTTCACCGTCTACAATTTCCGATGGGAAGGCATCTGTATAAATATTGTTTCAGGGTTATTTGTAAGGAAGCATTTCGGCTCTCACTCACAGGAAATAGAGATTTTCTCTAATCGTAAAAGTTCCCACATGTTTTGAAATTGAAGAATGAAATCTTAATTAGGACTAAATAAATACGACCGTGTGCTCTCATTATTTAACGCAGTGATCTTTGAATGTTTCACGAGTAACCATTTTTCTGGCTTTTATGGATATTCATCAAACAAATGAGTGTTTAGTTAGAAGTTGCAATTCGGTTGCAATTTCGAAACGATATTCCACAACTAACTTTCGCGAACCATTGCAGGTATTCTCACGGTGAGTTCACATCGATGACCGTAATGATTGGGATCACATCGACACTCCACGGTTAAACCGTTTGCGATGCATTTACCAAATTTACCGCAGTCGACATTCGCACATCGACCCACACTTAGCTGCAAAATGCAGTCAGTGAAATTTCTCGAGCCTCAATTATTTCACATGTCTTCAGTGCCACCAAACTGCTAGCCAAAAGCGTCTATCCTTTCTTATTAATCAAAAAACTGACTTGGACGATATAAATTATCTGCAAAATTTCACTCAAATGTTCATCTTCTTAAAAACAACCATGTTAATCTTCCTTGTCCAGTAATCACAACAAATTAAATAAATCGCAGATTTAAGTGGCGAAATAATTCGCTGCCATGCAATTCGTTTGACAGATTGAAATGCAATAATTACTTGCGAGGAAATGAATTTCAGTAATTTGTTGCAGCAATCTGCTGTTACGCAACGCTAAATTTGCTACTAATTGATGATGAGCCTGTTGATTGTTGACACGATTCATCGTGAGGTCAACATTAATTATGTTTTGCAACATACAGCTATTAGTTGTTAATTACTCGATAACATTCTAGACATTTTGACGCTCGTATGTGATCTACTCACAGTCCACTACAATTCGCTACTGAATTCAACCTCAACGCTAACTCATTCCATATTATACCTTCAATTCGCAATTCTTTCCCGCATAACCAGCTGTACAATTGCAGTAGTAGAAATCCTGAAGACCACCGCTGGAGCATTTACCACCATTTTTACATGGTGAATTATGATAGCAATAATCGAGATCCCTGAAAAAAACAGTTGAAAATGGAATGTCATTAATTGTAGGAGTTACGAAACAACTTCTCAATTGATCGAGTGGATCTCAATAAAATACGGTTTGATGGTTGCATATTCGATCACTGATTTATCTTTACTTCACCAGGATATTATTTCATGGATTGCCAGACAGTGAAAAAAGTGGTTACTGATCGTAACAATTGGAAGAGTCGTATCGGATAACAAGAATTATCGCATAATGAATATCCAACAATATCCAACCTGTCACAAAAGGTTCCACCCCAGTT